GTATGTTTTAGGTTGTATCTTCGGATTGCGTAAAGATTTCGTACGATGATGAGCGAATGTACTGTGTCCGATTTGAGCTCAAGTTGGATGAGTTACGCGTAGTAAATCGTAGGTATTATAAGGCTAGTAAATGACGAATTTCCCTTGTTTATTGTTGTCACACTCCTCCCTATTATACACTCCTGATATAGATATATAGAGAGAGAGAGAAGAGAGAGAGAGACAGAGAGACTGCACTGCTTCGTTACCGTAAGCCGTCCCCGGTCCGAAATCGTTGCCAGCTTCGATCATGTATAGACCCAGCAGCTCGTGATTGGTCACCCGATCTCGCTTCATGTCCAATGTGGTGCTCACAAACTCCTCAACGCGGGCCGCTGAAACGCACAATAGGTAATCCGTTACCATGGCGACATGAGCCGTTATAACATGCAATAGGTTATATCTGTTACCATAGTGATATATAGGACCGCTGAAATACGCAATTTAGGTAATTCGTCACCACAGGAAGCCAGACCGCTGAAACACATGATATAGGTATTTCGTTTATTTTCGTTACCACAGCAACGTGGGCCACTGATACACGCCATAGTTAAAATCCTTTACAGCGAGGACACAGACTGCTGAAATACACAATATTTAATCCATTACCACAGTGACAGACGGCCGAAACACACGATAGTTAATCCGTTATCGCGACAAGAAAATCGATTCATTCACACTTGCAGTGAGCACGGATTCTAGTATGCCCTTGATGGGAAAATAATAGCCACCAGCTGGTCTGAATGTTCTGAACAGCTTTGTATGGTTTCAGCAACAATAAAGGTGCATTCCAACAAATCTAAATAGCTCAGATGCACATTTCATGTAGAGTAAATTTGCGATGGCAACACGTAGAGTGGCAAACCAAGGCCTGTCATCGAACAATGAAGAATAACAACGGAACATAATGATGGTTACTAAGTAGTCTGAGCTAATTAAACATTCACAAATTTTTGTACAGTTGTGCACGTATGATAGGCTCCTAATACCACCCTCCAGCAAACCACACCAATGCCGCCCAGTATACCTGTATATAATCATATGATCAGCACTAATGGATAACTTAAACAGTGCTATAGAATGGATGGACACCTGCCTATTTAGGCATGGGTACTTTTGGCATTTCTCCTAAGTGCTATACAGTGAACTCATTTTTATAGAATGAACACTAGTCCATAAACAAAACATTTGACATATATATCCCTCAAGTGGCAAATATATACAGTGAACTACCTCTGTGGAATAGACGTGCCTGTCTATAAAGAACACATCCCATTTCCCTTGAGTGACCCTTGCATACTTTAACTGCTATGTGACCCTTATATACAGGTTTAACTGTATGTGACCCTTATATACAGGTTTAACTGTATGTGACCCTTATATACAGGTTTAACTGTATGTGACCCTTATATACAGGTTTAACTGTATGTGACCCTTATATACAGGTTTAACTGTATGTGACCCTTATATACAGGTTTAACTGTATGTGACCCTTATATACAGGTTTAACTCGTACCTGGGTTTGGCTCCAGCATTGTCTCTGTCTGCTTCAGAATTCTCTCCGTCCATAGCTTCGTCTTATCAGATCGCAGCCCCAGATTCTCAAATGCTGCATCATGCTCCGTCTTCTCTGCCTTACCCAGTTGTTCCTCTGTGAACTACAGCAATAAGACAAGCAGTTTCGTTCATGTACTGATGGAGTTTTAAAAACAATCCATCCATCGCTAACAGTCCATGCGCCACGGCGCTACCATGTCAGAGTATGCTTTCACTACGATCATTATACATGTCACTACCAGCGTTCAGCTATACAACAGCAGATACTTTGCAGGGTTTCACAAGCAATGTCGCTTGACACCAGAGAGAACTGATGAATATTGAGTGAATAGCACACGTACGTCTGTATAGTCACGTATCAGCGTGCATTTCAAAAATCTAAAACCAACTCTTATTACGTTTTAGTAATCTATTAAATTAATATTAGTGTTCCATATATCTATTTCACTTACACCATGTGTATCTACATACCACATTAATTCTACAACAATCTGCGCATGAGAATCAGAGATGCATAAAAGACGTAAATAATTGAGACTACGTAATTTAGTTAAGATTATTCTGTACAGTAATCAACTGGCTATCAGCTCAGGTGATACTGCAAACCAGCATTGCTACTTGACAGGGAAGCGTGAAGAGAATATTCAAATCCACCAGCTTGCTGTATTGTTGGCAATGGGAATTGAATTCAAGATGCACAATGCTTATAGAAGACAATGCTTGAATTAAAGATGCACAATACACGATGAATTCAAGCTTGCACATCCACAAAATTCACGTGTGAAATACCGCAGACGAAACAACTGCATTTACCTAGACTATGTAATTATGGTGCAGTTAGAAAAATTCCCTCTGGTCTACTGAATGCATCACAGGCACTTGAAGCGTTTCAATAAAATATAATGCTAACTAAATACGAAATCTATTTACTACCAAATTCTTAATGTTTCTATACTCTCTTTCACCTATTATTGCCAACAGTTTCCTGTAAATTCGTCCAAATCCTACGTCCAACCATACGCTGCCGGCACCATTGCTTTCGCGGCGCGACTGTTGCACGCTTACACTAATATATATATTAGTTAAAATAATAAATAAACTAATAAAATTATACCGTTTATAAGCTGTAACACTAGCCAGGATAGAGCTAGAGAGAGAGAAGTTGAAAGGGGAGAACGAAATAAAAAAGTTGGAGTTGCAACTTCAGCTGCAGGGCCTGTCTGAATCGGTCTTGAACCTGTCGGGTAGAGGTCCCGGGTTCGACTTGGCTAAACACATACGGTTTGTCCCGAAGTTTAGGGAAGAGGAAGTGGAGATATATTTCCTGTCGTTGGAGAAGGGTAGCAAATCGCCTTCAGTGGCCCCCGCGTGTACTAAACTATGCTGTTACAAACCGGATTTGTAGGGAAAGCGCAGGTGTTCTCGCTGCTGTCAGATCAACAGTCAGAGGATTATGATACAGTTAAGGGGGAACCGTGTTGACGGCTTATAAGTTGGTTCTGGAGGCTTATAGGCAGCAGTTTAGGAATTTGAACAGAACGTGTGGGCAATTCTTCATCGAGTTTGCTAGAAAGAAAGAAATGTGTTTCGATAGGTGGTATCGTTCTCTGCAGATCGCTAGGGAGTATGATAGCCTGAGAGAAGTTATCCTGATGGATGAGTTTAAAGACAGCATCCCTCTTGATATTAGGACTCATTTAGAGGAACACAAAGTTGGCGAGTTGGGAAGAGCCGCTGTTATCGCTGACGACTACAAGCTGACACACAAGAGGGGCCTTGCGGGGGCTCAGGGTTATAGTAGTAGGTGGACAGATCAGCGATCCGAGACCAGCCTAAAGGCAGAGGAGAAAACGAGGTTCTGTGGTAGGGATAATAGTGGCCAACCCGGGCAACGGGCTTCAGTTAGACAGCCAGATGGGGTCCAGAAGAGGTTTGGGTTTAGTAGAGGGGTGACGTGTTATTATTGTAACGATAAAGGGCACCTCAAGTCCGAGTGCTGGAAGTTGCAGAGGGACGAGAAGCAACAGAGCTATGGGAGACCTGTTGCCCTGGTCAACACAATGGTTGATTCCCCTGGTGGCACGAAGGAGGTAAAGCCTAGTTCTGTGGTGTCTGTTAAGGCAAGAGAGGGGGCGGATGGCGGGAGCCCTATGTTGGACAGCTATAGGAATTTTGTTTCAAGGGGTGAAGTTTCGTCCGTGTCAGGTGATAGGGAAACTAAGTCCGTAGTTATCCTACGAGATACAGGGGCGACCCAGTCACTGATGTTGCTTGAGAAGGTGCCGGGAACTCCAGGCAAGATGAATACTGGTGTGTTAGTACAGGGAATACAAGATAGTTATACCCCTGTACCCTTGTGTAGGGTGAATCTGAAATCGGGCTTAGTCTCGGGTAAGGTGACCGTGGGAGTTGTCCCCTCCCTCCCGATAGAGGGGGTGAGTTTTCTCTTGGGTAATGACTTAGCGGGCGATAGGGTCAGTACCTCTCCTATTGCTTCTGATGAGCCGGTGGAACAACCGGAAACGGAGAGGTTGCGGGAAGAATTTCCAGGCATATTCCCAGCTTGTGTAGTGACTAGATCACAGAGGTGTGAGGTGAAGCAAGAGGAGGGAAAAACGGAGGAACGGAATGAAGCGGAGGAGTCTGAGGTATGGTTAGTGGAAACGATTTTCCCACAGTTAGGCGGTGACAGCAAGGGTGGAGAGGGGTGCCCTAAAAAAGTAGAGTTCACTCGTGCCTCTCTAATAGAGGAGCAGCAAGCAGATCCTGTTCTAAGGGACATAAGACAGACGGCTCTGTCCCTGTCTGAGGCTAAGGAGGTTCCCGAGTGCTATTATATGAAGGCCGGGGTGTTGATGAGAAAATGGAGGCCTCCCAACAGTCCCGCTCACAACAAGTGGTCTGTTGTACACCAGGTAGCGGTGCCTACCTGTTATCGGTTGGAAATATTGCGGTTGGCCCATGAGATACCCATGGCGGGGCACTTGGGGATAAGGAAGACCCAGGCTCAGGTTATGGCACATTTTTATTGGCCTAAGTTACACAGGGATGTAGTGGAGTATTGTAAGACATGCCACTCATGTCAGATGATAGGTAAGCCTCAACCGTCAATCAAGCCAGCCCCACTGGTACCCATTCCGGCTTTTGAAGAACCCTTCAGTCGAGTGTTAATTGATTGTGTTGGTCCCTTACCCAGGACCAAGTCGGGGCATAGGTATTTGTTGGCTCATGGATGTGTCGTCTAGGTTCCCGGAAGCCATTCCACTAAAGAAGATTACATCTGATGTGGTGGTGGAAGCTTTGATTAAGTTTTTCTCTCGGTATGGCTTACCTAAAGAAGTGCAGTCAGACCAAGGCTCGAACTTCATGTCAGGGCTGTTTCAAGAGGTAATGCATCGGTTGGGAATCAGACAGATAAAGTCTTCAGCTTACCACCCCCAGTCTCAGGGGGCTCTGGGACGGTATCACCAGACGTTGAAGACGATGCTCAGGGCATATTGTCTGGAGTGCGCCGAAGACTGGGATAAGGGTATCCCTTTCCTCTTGTTTGCCACTAGGGACACACCGAACAAGTCCACTGGGTTTAGTCCCTTCAAGTTGGTGTACGGTCACGAAGTTAGTGGGCCCCTTAAATTGCTAAAGGAGCAGTTTTTGGATGAAGTACACGCTCTACCCTCATAGAGTATGTATGTAACATTAAGGAGCGGCTGTCCAAGGCGTGTGAGGTGGCCAGGGCACATCTAAAAAAGTCTCAGCAATCGATGAAGGCGTATTTATGATTGAAAAGCGAAGGTTCGTGGGTTTCGACCAACGTTGATTAACTGATTAACTTTTTAAGGTAATCCTAATACCGGTGCAAGGTGAGCCACTATCGGCCAAATTCAGTGGTCCTTATCGGGTGGAGGAAAAGCGGGGTGAAGCCAATTACGTGATTGGCACGCCTAATCGACGGAAATCCCGAAGGCTGTGCCACGTCAATATGATAAAGAGGTACTACAACCGAAAAGATAGCCGGCCCATAGGGCTAGTCGCCCCGGTGGGCCGGGTAGAGGAGCAGGGCAGTGGTGATAGCTAGTCTGAAAGGGTGGACCAACAGATGTCTGCCAAAGAGCCGTCAGGTGTTAGGCTGTCTAACTCAGACATTCTAGCCAGTTTAGGGTCAGAGATGAGGTACTTGTCGGAGTATAAACGGCACAGTGTGGTCAGGCTTATTAGAGAGTATAGGCATTTGTTCACTGATAACCCAGGAAACACGTCATGGGCGGTACAGGCAGGGAAGGCAGAGCCCATCAAGCAACACCCTTATAGGCTTAATCCGGATAAGTTGGCTAGGGTCTGGAAGGAAGTACAGTATATGCTGGAGCACGGTATTATCGAGCCTAGTCAGAGTAGTTGGAGTTCTCCCATTGTACTCATTTCTAAGCCAGATGGCTCGTCAAGGTTTTGCATTGATTACCGTAAGGTAAATGCCGTAAGTCGTACGGATGCGTATCCAATCCCTAGGATTGAAGATTGCATCGATAGAATCGGGAAGGCGGCATATGTAAGCAAATTAGATTTGCTTAAAGGGTACTGGCAGGTTCCCTTGACGGACAGGGCGAAAGAAATCTCAGCCTTCGTAACTCCTGATGGTTTGTATCAGAGTAAGGTAACCCCGTTTGGGATAAAAAAAACTCGGGGGCCACATTCCAAAGGCTAGTCAACCGGGTTATTACTGGGTTATCCAATACTGTGGCTTACATTGATGATATACTAGTGTATAGTGACACCTGGCAAGGCCATCTGGGGCACTTAAAAGAGCTGTTTGACCGACTCACAGAGGCAAATCTTGTCGTGAATCTAAAAAAAGCGAATTCTCCAAAGCAAACGTTACATACCTTGGGCATGTAGTCGGTCAGGGCCAAGTGATGCCGCGACAGGCAAACATACGAGCGATTATTGATTATCCAGTCCCGAAGAGAAAGAGGGAATTGCTACAATTTCTCGGCATATCCGGGTTTTTTAGGAAGTTCTGTGCAAACTATAGCTCAGTCGCAGCCCCACTGACTAGTTTACTAAAGTAAGGTGTAAAGTACATGTGGTCAAGCTTTTGCCAGATTGC